CTCCTGCTTGATCTCCAGCGAGCAAGAAGATTCCTGACAAAGTCTCAACACCTTGAACGCTAGCTCGATCATGATAGGAGTATTTGAGATAGTGACGAGAGATACTGTCGGCAACAAGTTGCCGGCGAGCATTTGGTGGTGATTCATCCGACATTTTTACGCAATACCCGGGGTACTTAAATTATCGTTAAGTAGGAACTGCAGTCTCTCGAGGGCGGAGCAGACACGATGGCGGCGACGGGTGTCAGGCGGAAGGACAAGCAGGGAACAAAACAGCGGAATCTCGAGCGGAGCGCCCGATTCGGGGAAGATTTTTCTTGAGGGTGGAGATCGTTTGAGCGGATTCAGTACGCCGCAAATCCTGTGGTGAAGCGTGCAGCTCCTTCCACAAATATGTATATTATGAATGTCAGCAACAGGCAGATACATTCGACGACTGGGAGTCGACAGAGATCGAATCTTCGAGACAGGCGAGTTGGAGCGATCGAGTTCTCACACCGATACCGCTCGCAAGGACAAGGCATCGACATGAGTTCCGAGACTGTCAGCGGGCTCTCTCGAGACTCACACATCTCTCTTCAGGCTCGTTCGATGTGTTTTCACGCTCTGAACTCCTCTCCGGACTCCTCTCGGATTGCTGACGCTCACGCTGAGTACATGGAAACAACTTCGCAGGTAGGATTGCATTCTCGATCAGACATGCTGTTTTCATGCGACTATCCTCCGATCGTACTTCCTAGTTCGACTCCACCTTTTCCCCCGCACATCCTGTCTATGGGATACCCTTGCCACCCATGTCCTCCTTCAAGGCACGATACTGAACCCTTCAAATCCTACGCTAGCCGCCTCTCTCCCCTCCCAGGCAAGGAGCCTTAGGTAATAAGAGCTTAGTGGGTATCATGAGCCGCTCGACTCTAGTCGGATTTTTCACTCTCCTGGGTCCTGCGTCTACATATGTTCTATCTTCGGCTCTACGGCTCTTCTACCTTTTTCTTGATGTCGCCACCCATCGCGCCAGCCGGTCCCTTTGGCAATCATGGGGCAACCCCTTGAGAAGCCGCTGCATTCTGGATTCTCGACCAAAAAGAGAGCATGATATTCCCATCGCAGTGATATTTCGCCGCTCATGTGTCGACTAAGGGTGCAGAAAGCGGCGGTGGTCCGTGTTTCCGCATTCGAACCCCTTCGGGCGGCCGAGGAGCTCCTTAATCGGTGATCGCTAGAGACTCGCCCTGAGCGGACGTTTTTCCGGCGAAAAGCGTACATAAAAGCGGACTATGAAAGAGGACCTTCGTTCAATTCTCTCATATTGGACTCAAAGGCTCTTGATGCGAATGGCATACAAAACTTTTAGTTATTCAGTGCGGCGCGTTGGAATAGTAACGTTTCCCTCGTGGACTGCACCAATACAAGTCAGTCTTGAGCTCTTCGCTTCGGAGCAGATGGAAATTGAACTGGATCGATAGATACCGTCTTATGTTGTTTTCTGAGAGATTGTGACGACGATCTGTCACCATGTTCTTCAGGATGGAGGAAGATCTTTCGACTTCAGCGTTCGGAAGGATCGCACAGTCGAACATTGCTGAACCGAAAATCGCGGGTGATTTGAGCCGGCCGAAGTCGGGGTTGTTCGCGAAGATTCCAACAAACCGTCGGAGGAATTCGCCCTCCAGACTTGTTCTCACCGAATCGAGAATCTGCATTTGTCTCCGCAAGGTGATGGATCGAAACTCGAGCATAACGATAAGCTCGGGCAGTAGATGAAATTTCTCAATGGAATCGAATTGAGACTCCAACTCCGGGTCTTCGATGAGCTCCTTCAGAGCTGGACTGCCGATCCTTTACATTCAAGATGCGACACGAAATTCTTGACTGTCTCGAAATGTTCGTAGTGATGGAGAGCTGCGTTGACGAAAGTTCTCCATCGGGTCACAACCAGGTTCGGGGGGAGCGGCTCGTCACCAGTCATTCGACGGTACAGATCGATTTTTGAGTTGGACATGACGCTCTGCATTTGTGATACGAAACTGTTGACTTTCCCGAAACTGTCACGAATCGTCTCACACAGGAGGTGAAGCATCGTATCGGGCGAGACAGTCGCGCGATGAGTATGTATGTTCGATCTTTCCTCGCCAATCGGTGAATTACGGTGTCATTGTGTCGGGTATCAAGTCGAGCGAGTGTTTCCTCCATCGAGAGTTCAACAGAATAATAATTCCACTTAGTTCGAAAAAGAGGACATACTCCGCGTTTGTCCTCGGGATTTTCCTTCAGATTCGACATCAGCTCATACAAATGGACCCACCCGAGGGTACTATGGTCTATCCCGGGTTCTATCCTAAGGGACAACGAAGCTCCTCATGGTGTCGGTCTCTTCACCAGGATCTTCTCTGATTCAGTCCAGCCGACCGTATACGTCTTTTCCCCAACGACGAAAGTCAGACTCGAACCTATAGAAGTGAATTCCATTTAGGCGAGGAAGAATAGATGCCATCCGTATTTTGCAGCAAACGATAACCATCTACTCATTACAAGGGTCAGCAGAACGAGAGGTCGCCTCGCGACCGAACTTCTCGCGGCGAAACGGTCCTGCGGCGATATAGTCTCGCGGCGGAACCCCGCCGCGGCGAGATGGTCACTGCATAATGAGGCTCGCCGCAGAAACTGCGAGCGAGAGCTTCCGAAGCTCGAATATTTTGTCGACTTTCGTTTAGAGGATGCAGCGCAGAGAATCGCAAACTTCAATACTGGTAGCCAATCCCAATGACGAAGACTAAGCGGAGCCCCGTCATCTCGGACCTCGTAACCCATTTCGAAGTTGGCCTTCCTTCATGTTTGTCGAACGACATTCGCCGCTTTCAATCTCACTCCGTGTGGAGAGCCTGCGACTATAAAAGGGGCTCCCTCCTTTCGTAAGAGCAACGTTCCCACCATTCTTCATAATAGAGTCATGATTGCTCGCTAGGGATGATTTACCGTTAGTCGGAAATTCAATAATCGATTTTCCGATTTTCAGCATCGGAAACTGGATTTTCCGACTTCTGTAATCGGAAAATTGGATTTTCCGATTTTCTGAAGTCGGAAAATCGATTTTCCGACTTTTAAAAGTCGGATATTCGAATTTTCCGTTCAGAAAATCGGAAAATTGGATTTTCCGATTACAGAAGTCGGAAAATCCAGTTTCCGATGCTGAAAATCGGAAAATCGATTATTGAATTTCCGACCAACGGTAAATCATCCCTATTGCTCGCTCGAGCTTTCCCGCCACAATGCCATAGCTTCCCTAAACTCCAATTGACCATCTGTAAGGTAGGGCCACACAGAATCGAGTTGAGGAGGTTCAACGACTCCTCCATAGATGCACGTGGCCCGTTATCTCCTCTTCCGGTCTCATATTCGATTGGCTCGTCTGAGTGATCTCCATCGATTCCAAGTCGGTTATCATTATTTTCAGGCTCGAAGTCAGATCCTGGCTCATCTCGGCGTCCTCCAGGATGATTTTCCGGGGCATATGAATAACATGTTTTAATATAATCGTCTCAAATCCGTCAGTTTGATGGATCAAGTCCATGATCCTTTAGTGAGTTCGCATACTCACCATACCTCTTATCACTATCATCAGCTTCTAGTGGCTCATTCCGGGGTTGAACCCCTTCAGAACCCTCCTGAGTCGCCCCGTCTGGCGGCCGTGAGCGTCGAAACAGGAGCTAGGCTCCATATTCCCTCGAACTCATTGCCCCGCGAGAGGTTTGAGCCCCTATGAGTCTGTGCTCAGTCAGAAGAACTGAATGAGAGTGATATCCCCCTCCCCCTCCCGAGGTGAGATTTGCCTCTGTCGACAATTCCCAAAGTCCCCGAGCCTTGGAACTTCTCAGGGGAGCGTCTTGAAGTTCTGTTAATAATCCGTAGAGGTCCTGTTGGACCAATAACCCCGACAACTTTCCGTCAAAATTTTCTCGATTGAAACGCTGACATGTGCAAGGAGAGTAGAGGATCTGCATCATCCAATAATCAGGCTAGGAATCCATATTTTGCGTCCACATCAAGGGTCATATGGGGGACTTTCCCGAAAGCAACATTGGAGCTCCCCAGTTTTCTACGCTGTAGTGTAGACGCACTCAGTTCGGATCGGATCGGACAATCGAATGCCATTCGCGGCTTCGTATGACCGTCAGCTTAACCCATCGTATTGACTTCCTCCTTCCTTTCGTCGGGCTCTGCATATAGGTGCTCTAGAATCTCGATCGAAAAATCGTCTAGATACAGGTTATACATGATAAGGCGGTAAGGAGGAACCTTCTGCGAGACAGATAGGCAGGCGGGGTTCTATCTGAGAAATTCCAAATGGTTTCAAGTTTCAAGGATCAGCCCATTGTCCGGCAGCAGCGACGAGCCGAGGAGAGAAGTCGGGTGTCGCGGCAAGGGAGGAGCGTCCTCGACATTCCAAGAATCCGGGCTGCTCAGTACAGCTGAACCTCGCTCGAGGAACTGAATCCGTTCCGCAAAGCCTGGCCCTAATCGGAAAGTCCGCCGTCCGAAATCTCCAATTCTCGAGTCGATGGTACGGCTGAAAATTCTGATCGGTCCACCGAGGAAAGAGGATCCCAGGAATGAGTACGGAATCCGGCCGCTTGACGAGTTGAGATCCGTGACCTGGGGCAAATTTTCTCGTGAAAAATCTTCTGCCATGCGGAGTGTTCGTTAATCGAGGTGCTCTTCGATCAAGCCTTCATTGTACTCAAGTCTTTACCGCATCGGTGAATCTTTCTCATGAATTGATGGCAGAAGAAGTGTACGGCGTCGAGTCTCGCCTACGAAAGTATGCTGATTCTGATTTCGCGACTCGATCGAGAAGCTGCCGCCCTAGAAAAAATAATTCTGCGCGAAACTCTGCCCTCTCTCAGTTTATTGAAACAGCTCTGAACGTGACGGCGTTCTTTGCGATCCTTCACCCCCGTGGGAGTTGACTCCTTCTTTTCAGAAATCTAGCCGACCACGCATCACTGGGAAAAATCGGTCGGAACCACTCCGGGCTTCGGGCTCCCGGTGGCAGATTTAGGTTGAAGTGTGATGTCCTCTCGAGCTGCTCCTCGTTGCTTGTCGAACTCCGGGATGCGAACTTTGATTATCCGAGTCTCGTATCCTGCTGCGGTCACTCGGAGAGTGAAGTTCCCAGGAGGGAGTATACGCCAGAATTCGCCAAGTTTTGTGGTTGTGACGGCGCGATCCGGCAGCTTCAGATCGTATCCCTCGCTGCCGGACAACACGGAGATCTCTGCTTCATTTATAGGCTCACGCGTGAGGGCGTTGATGACGAACCCTTTGATTCCCTGATGCACTCGCCACATGAACTCCATTAAGGGAGATTTATTGTTCTCCCATTCTTCGGCAAGTTCACTGGCCGGCGGATACTTCTCGCATCCTACCTCGATTGTTAGATCTAAGGAGTTGGATGCCAAGTAATTGAAATCTTGCATGCCGCCGGTCACTTTGTACCAAGCAGCACCATTCGTTATGCCCCCGGTGCTTGTGAAGTTGTCAGACACGAAACCGCAAGATACTCCGAGATGCATTTGGGGATGGTTGTCTGCATAAACTCTGGCCAGTTGCTGGAATACCGCCTCATCGGGGGAAGGCGTGTACTGTCTCCGGCTCCCGTCATTCGTGTCATCGAATGGATAATTCGCTACCAGTGCTCCTCCATGAAAATTGGCGGAGAGCACAAACGGGATTGAGGTGATCCACTCGATCAACGCTTGCGTTTCCGGTTGTATTGCCCGGCCGGTATCGCCGTCGAATAGATGGTGGATTGCGGAGTCCTTACTCCGTCGGAGCATCAGATGCATTTTCCGCTGTAGATCTGGGAAGTCCCGGTTGAGGTCAACGCCATGCGCGTTCTCACGTCCCGTGGATTGCGTCAGTTGTGTGAAATAGGTCAGGTAACTCGAGACATCGAATTTCGCCTTCGTCGCCGCGTCCCAGCCGTCCGGATTCATTGAGGGCATGATGTGGATTCTCGTCGTGTCGATCAGTCGAGCCGTTTCGGGATCCCCCGCTCTGAACGAGTAGCAGAGCTCATCGGCCAGCTTCAGGAGGAGTTCCCGACCAAGAGTCTCGTCTCCGTGCATGTTCGCTACATACTTGAATTCAGGCTCGAGTGGCTCGTGAACGCCAGGGTTTCCAGAGAACTCTATGACGACGAGCGGCTGACCTCGCACGGAAGTGTGATTGAGGTCGTAGAGTCGCGTAATCGAGAGACACTCATGATGAATCCTGGTGAGTTCCTTGACGACTTCAGAGTTGTCATGATGTTTGAACACAAACGAACTCTGGAGACAGGAGGCTGCCGAAATCACGAGAACAACGAGTAGGTGAGTCAACATGATGCTTCGCGAGTTGAATGTGAAATGTCTCCACAGACTTTAGGAGTTTCAGCCTGAACTTCTCTCAGAATTCCGCCTCTCTCCCTCCGATAGCATCGGGTATCTCACTGGAGTTGAAGTTATTTTCGTTTCCGAGCTATACGCGCAGCTCCGAAAGTCTTCTGAATGACCCGGGCTCCGCACTTCGGAATTCCCTTGAGCGGGTGCGGCATGTGATGGATTCGAGGAGGGTTGCTCAAAACGCAGCAGTCAGCAGCGACTCAGACTACATTATTAGGGTGAATATTTTCTACGTCAGGCTCGCCCTCTCCGTCGAGACGCTGTCATGCACGAGTGCGTGAAGATTTCTGCTTTGCTTGACAGATCCCAGATTGAAGATGCTAAATAATAGAACCGACTGCGAGATAGCCATTCTGACTTTCCTCATAGTGAGTCGAGCGGCCTCAGAAATCTTGTTTGGAGTAAACGTGTCGGAATGAAGTCATTGAGTGCCACGGTGAATCTCACTTTCTGATCTTGATGATCTTCATGAGCAAGTTTTGTCCGAATATCTGGCGGATTATTCGATCCTAGATGTCCGGGGGGTCCCCCCGATCGAAGCGTGAGTACTCGAGGCTTGCGAAAGCTCTCGAAGATGTCTGCGCGAATCCGGTCGTATTCTAAACGCTTATGAGTTATTTGAAATCCGATTTTTCGCGATAGGGGAGCCCGGTGAGAGCTAGTCCAATGGTGAGTATCATGAAATCTCTGCTGCTATGACTTTTTTCGAGATTGAAGCGGTAGAGCCCTTTAGAGAAGCCGGCTTGGAATCGTCGAGAAACTTCGTGGGGTGAGGTAGAATTGTCATAAAGATTCTGATCCGATCGCTCCCATCTGCACATATCGAGACGATTTTTCCTACCCGAGCGTCTGCATGTAGGGGGAAGACTCCTACCTGGGTCGGCGAAGCGTGCTCATTTCACCCTTACTCTTGGAGAAAGTCGTTTCCGACTCGACATTGTCAGCGATATTCACCCGCTCCAGAGATGGAGGACGCACCCTCGAATCACGAACACATTCCTCTGGAGTCCGGAGCCAGTGCGCTTTGAGTGATTTCGCCTTGAGTTTCTCTCTGAGCTGGAACAGAACATCCACAGAATCGAAGCACATACAGTGGTGGCCAAAATCTCAAGAACGGCACCCTCTTCGGTACTTCCAGCTGCCTTAAGGTTTTGACCACCACTGTTCATTTGATCCGCTTATGCGGGTCTCGTCCGCTGCATACCCCTAAAGGAGAGAAACAAATGGGCTGAGGAAGGTAAGAAGGAAAGACGGATTTGATGCCGTGGACCTAGACGCAACCACTAGTTTTCCGAAGAGCTATCTGAGGGTAGTCCACCGCAAGCTAACCTCGAATCAGAGATCGCTGCAGAGAATCGAGTTCTCGCAGTTCCACGAGGAGGGAGAAATTGCTTCGTCGCCAAGAGAGGAGAGCCTCCATCGTATAATATGTAGAGACGCGATTCGACCGGACATTTTTCCCGCTGCAACCGGACACAAGACCGGACTTTGGAGCCGGACATTCATTCTACTTTCGAGCTGAGACGTAAATTGTACGAGCCATGCCGATCGTGTCGGGTATTTTGCCCGCAGATAGTCAGCCAGTCTCGATCGAGCCAAAGATGCGCCTCGAACCGCATCGAGCTATCTCACGTTGTAGAAGATTTCTATGGCGATTTGTCGCAATGTTTTTTGGGAAGAGAGGAGGATCTTCAGACCTAGACGTTACAAAAAAAATTCAGAGGTAGCAGCAGAGCCACTACCGTGTAGAGGACGTGAAACGTCTTCGGGATGGCCATTCGTAATTCGTAAGACTCGAGCATCGTTATTATTTCTTTAAACTCACAAAGCACGGAGCACGGAGCTGCAAGGCGTCGAAAATGGACAAGTTTCGTCACACTTTTGGTGAAACACTAGGCCAACCTTTTTAAAGACGTTTCACGTCAAAAATAGCCCCTCCGAAGATTTTTGAGTCGCTGATGACACAGTCTCTCATACGCGGGAAATCCTGAATACTGCCTACCTCGATTTTTCAAAAAGTATATTTTTTTGAAAGGTCGTCGCCTACGCCATATCTGACCGGGTCGAGGATTGGAATCTGCTGGCTGAACGAGATTCCACTTAGTTAGACGATAAAAGGGAGGGTGGAGAAAAAAGCTTTCGACATTCGTCGTTTCGGTATAATTGTCGCATAATAAGGTACGCTGAGGAAACTGGACGATATCACCGATTCCCTGGAAACCGGACATGCCGGCCGTAAAAAGACACGTGCGGTCATATCGCGTCTCTCATACTATATGATCGGGCCAATGATATTGTCGAAGCTATAAAAACTGCATTCGCATATGTCTCGGACGAAATGCTGTGCTCTAGCGCCGAGGCCTCTGTTCCATTCTGATGGGTCAGGCTAGAGCGGTTATCTAGCTTATCAGCGTGTTTCGTTCCGCCCTAGGGTGTTGGTCGGAAGGAAATAGTTTGGCGGAATTTACCTCAAGGTATAAGCAAGACTCGCACTCGAGTCACGTTCGCTTTCACGACTGATGCGAATATCTACCCGATCGTGCGAGAGAGCTTGCCCAACGCGCCGTAAGTCGGTTTGACACATAGAGACGCGTTTCCAGACATTACACCCTCATGGCTTCCTTTGCCGCCTCGGGTGGAGGGTTGGGTGGAATCAGGAATACCCATTCTATTCATCCGCGCTTTTCAGGAATTCGTTCAATGTCACAGAAATTTCGAAGAGCGAGCATGATCTCTTCACAACCCCCATCGGGCCTCGCTCTTCTGGGGGAGCTCAGTGTCCCTCCCAGATTGATTTCACTGACATTACTGATTTCGATAGAAGTTATGCCGGATCATTCGGAAAGAAGCGCGCGGCTAGGACGACTCCTCAAAAGTCAGGTAGATGGCGCTCTTCCACAATAATATGACAGCAATCCCCCTCTCACACCACAGCTGGCTGTCGTCGTGTATTGTTGATGCTTGCTGCTACTACTGCCTCGGCGGCTCTCTGCTTCCCAAGCCCAAGTGAGCCGCCTCCTTATCGCGGCTTGCTGTGGCGTTGTCAGCTGCTCGGTCAACCATAGTTGCACTTGAGGCCACCAAAAGAACTAAGGTCTTTCCTCGGCCTAGTAGTTCTTGCTCTCAAGTCTGAAAATTCTAATCCACCGAGCTCTCGTCGCTAAGAATGGGTGTCATAAAAAACAGGAAGAGTTTCCAGGATCCAGTTTCCATAGTGAACGAAGATCCCTTATCCGAGTGAGTGTCCACAGGGATTTCGGTCGTTCCCCGGCCCTTCATGAAACCCAGAGATCGCAGCTCCGTCTCGGGGAATTCCCGTTCACAAAGACAGGTTGTTCGAGCTCGATTCCGAGGCAACCAAATGATTCTTTCGAAGCTTCCTCAATTGTCCTTGGCGGTCCCTGCCCTACTGGCTACCCCATCATATATTCGAAGTGTACGCTGTTCGTGTGATAGACCAGAAGAGCTAATGAGACGAATTTACAGCCTTATCGAAAGCGGCGATGATGCCAGATTGGCTCAAGAGCTATCGGAGCTCGGTCAGGCCACACGTAGGCGGCGGAAAACGCGCCGCTCGCAACCTCTCCTGAGCTCATGCGACGTTGAAGGTCTCAGCTCCCGGCTGGTTGGTCACAAAAGTCAACGGAAGCAGAGACGTATACAGAATGGTTTGTCTCCTCACTTTCGTCACCTCAAAGCATTTCAGTCTCTCCGAAGACGGTACCCGAGCGGAAGATGGGAATCGTCGATTGAAAGGAGTGTCCGTTTCAAATGTTAATTTTTACAGACAAACAGTTGCGAGCGACTTTGGCCTCCGATGGAGATCTCGATGAAATCTCGATTTATGACTTCGTTCAGGATACGGTTTCGGTATTTACATTAATGCTCGAGGAAAAGGACAACATTGCCGTGAGTTCGAAGGTTTAGAATCTCGAGCCTGTATCTGCGAGGATCTACGTCTGTAACGGCTGATTATCGTCTACCTTACCCGTAGCTCTGGGAAGCGATGTTGGCCGCCGAACCAGATGACGTATACCACGAACGATATCATAGAGACAAACGGAACGGCAACGGAAGATCAGCATCGGGTGAGCGAAGTAGAATGTTGTGCAACGAAGTCAACGCTTGTCAGGGGAGATCGCTCTCTGAAATTTCATTCCGTCACTCAGTGAATGGATACTCGCCGGAGGACTGCTACAGCCGACTCGACGGTGACATGAAGCGTACCTTGAGGCGGCATAGATGTCCGACAGATCTCCTCCGCAGAATAGAGAATGACTTGGAGAGCTTTTTCGATGTAAGTACCAGGCTTCTGCAGTGGGAGGAAACTCTGATGTCTGACAAACATTTCTGCAATGGAGTCCTTATGCGTATATTCCTTGACAGTCCTCGCCAGCAGACGTCTACAAGACCTATATGGACAATTCATTTTCTCGGCTTTTACTCCATGCAACGTGTGAATACATGAATCTTCGCTCGAGAAGTGAGTGAGGACGGTTCTTCTCCGCTCCGACTATATTCTTAAGAGCGTCAACATCACTAGCGATTCCGCGGATCCTTCGCTCGCGGCTCCCAGCCATCACTATGCATACTGCGGAAACTTCACGGAGCATCGCCAATTTTTCGCAACATCCCGCGGCATTGATTGAGCTTCCTGATTCAACAAAAGTTCCATCGGTCACGCCCGGAATAGCATCCGTTATTCCTTCTTCACGAGTCTTCGTCTTTATTCCAGGTTTCGACCATATGGGTACGAGATGGACCTTAGTGAAGAATCCACATGCCGAGTTCAAATGTCCCCTGATACCGCTCTCGAAATATCTCGAATGCAGACGTCGATCGAAGCGACGATGATGCCAGTCGACGGTTACATATTCATTCGAATTGCCGTCGTTCACGTTCCCGCGTTCTTCTGTTTGAATAGGACCAGCATAATCCTCGTTTCGAAAATTTGGAGCTGAACCGAACTGCAGCTTAAAAACAGTTTTTTCAACACATCGATGGCTATTTACGAGAAGGAATCTCGTTCTGTGAGTGATTCAGCGCTGTCTCAGGATGCGATATTCGGGCCATCCCCGAGTCGAATATTCTGTTTCGATGGCGATGACTTGTGGCGGTGTACCCGAGGAGCAAGGCATGCGAATAAAACTAGCATAATAAATCGATGAAGCAGTCGAGTTGCATGCGTTTATACTCTTCTTTTTCTCGCTTGTGGTCGGAAAATTCGGACCCCCTTTCAGTTGGCGCTAAATACTTGTGGAATATCGCTCATCCGGAGAAAGGTGATCCGATGATCCCTTGGATCGGCTCTGAGATTGACACCTTGAGGCGTCTCCATAGCGCGGAGTAACGTGGGCTCAATTTCACACCGTTGGTCGCGGCCGTAAGCTGCTGAGCGACTGTCGACCAGTGGCTGGGGCAGGAAAATTACTCTCCTCGCCTGCTTATCTCAGGCGCGAGCTTTGCAAATGACGCCTAGTGTGAATTGATGAAGTTTCTCTTGGCCTGGTATGGGCTCCAGCGGGATCGTATGATATCGGATACAGTGGCGTACCCGAGGGGGGGCCAAGGGGGCCATGGCCCCCCCAAAATTCTTTTTGCGTAATGCAGGAGTACAGGGTACCTTATCATTTTGGATCTCTGGTCCCCGGAAAACCTAGTCTGCCCCCCCCAAAAAAAATCCTGGGAACGCTCCTGATCGGATAGTCTGGAGGCTCAGAACTTCATCGCTCATAATATTCGGTACGCGAGTCAGCTGTAGACGACTCACTCAGAGTTATACCCCGTATCCCGGGACAACCTCATCTCAAATCACCGATATGTGAGCGCATGACTGTCGAGTTTTCCGAGCTCGAAGATTTCGGTTGACTGCACTCTACGATAGAGATCCTCTGAGGTCGCTACCCGTCGCCTTGTTCATTCTACACGGAAAGCATCTGCGTTGTCTAGGCAACTACGCTCCGACTACCCCGGAGGCTGCCAGCCGCTTCTATTCGGCTCTGTGGATCAAACAGCCTGCAAGATGACGGAGCAAGTGAAATTCGTGATTTCCAAACTGAATGAGCCTCCATTCGAGAAGAAGTTCAATCTGATCAACTTCGATGCTCTCCGTCCCGAGCAGCTATTGCAAGTGCTTTTCGATACTCTTGCCTATGTCGATCCGAAGGCAAAGTCTGACTTGCGAAATGAGGATGCTGAACAACTCTCGATAAAAGTGAGTCCCTCCGACATTTTCGACCTTGGCCTCGATTTTCAGCGATTGGGCTCGACTACAAGCGACTGAGAGCCGGAATTGCCAACGTCTCGTGTTTTAGGCACTCAACCTACTCCGAGTGATGAAGTACAAGCCTCCACCAGACATCTCTCTGAGCGCATTCCGCCAAGGACTCGTACTCGGGGACAAAGGAATCATTTATCATATCTTGGCGTTCGTCCTCGCTAATCTCGAGCACCACAAGAAGAGAGCCTACATAGCCAGGTTTAGTACATATGTGGAACATGGAGCTGAGAACGGAGGTACATTCACGATTCCGTGAGCTGCCATTCGACAACTTCGATTTGGAATCCACAGGTATATCATGAAAGTGGAAGTCAGTCCCGACCTCGAGGGCGACGCGGACCTCGTCGATATCCAAGACGAATACGACAAACTCATCGATCAGTTCAAGTCGATCCACAAAGAGCATGAAAACCTGAGTGAGGTGAGAGCTCCATGACATTCCTCGGTTCACTGAGCTCGCCGAAAATGAAGCATCCGACAAATTATTTCCGAATGGAGTGAGCTAACGCCCCGTGTCTCTCGATACAGTCCGGTCAGAGTTTGCAAGAGATCCAAAAAGACATGGAGCACATGGAGGAAGAAAGGCAGCAGTTGGGACGGAAAATCGATCGCGTGAAGAGGAGAGTTTCTAATATTTATAACAAGGATGCAATGTTGGAGGCCGCCGCAAAACTCCGAATGGAGCAGGATAGGGCCGAGGGATTAGCCCAGGATCGAATGATGCAGCGTGATACGCTCGCTCATAGCGAACAGAAAATAAATCGGCTCAACCAAATGGTACGGACGAAGTAAGCCATGGAAGCTCGCACTACTGTAGAACCTATGTTGTAAACCTCGGGGTTCCAAGGGAGAATACGACATATTCAGGTGAAAATCGAGCGGCAAACTGCGGTCGGGGCGAGTCCAGAGAGTTTGCTGGCCAAACTCACCGAAGAAGTGAAAGCAAACACCTATCTGGTTCAAGAGAAGCTCCCTAAAGAGATCCGCTCTGGTCGCTTGCTGCTGAAAGATCTGCAGAGGGCAGTCGCGGAGCCCACCATTTCTCAAGACATGACCGAAAAGGTATGAAAATCTTCGACGAGAATCTCGATACCCATGCGCAGGTCGACGTAGACTGGCGCAGACGCAGGAGATGGACGCGGACGAACACCTGGAGCGGGTTTCATGCCAGAGGCCTTTCGCAGATCAAAAATCAATTAGCCGAGACAAACGCCGAAGTTGGTCGACTCTACGAGAAGAAAATGCGCCGGAGTGATCCCGACGAGAAGCAAATCCTTTTCAGACAGCAGGCAAGTTCGAGCACTTATTGAGATAGAGCTCACTCAGATTCTTCAAATCACACCGCACGCAGAAGTGAGTACCCATCATCGTCGTGCCCCCAGGCGGCAATCGTTTCACGCAAGAAAGAAGCGGCCGCAGAGCAAATGGAGCGATTGCAAGCTGAGCTCTCGCAAGTTCTCTCCGAGCTCGAGGACAAACGGCAGAAAAGCGCGGCGTACGCCGACACCCATGCGGTTTTGCGAGGAGAAGAGTTCAAACAGTATGTCACCAAACTGAGGTGAGTGAGTTCCGGAGACGAGTCGGTAAAGCTGTGTACACGGTACACGGAGCAATCGCTGAGCGAGTACCGTCTCAGACTTGGAAGGGTCGAGTCTCTGTGCGCCGCGAACTTGCAGTAGAAGTCATGTATACGTGTATATATGCGTACGAGCATGCTCGAGGCCCTCCCTCCGAGAAGCCCCCTACGGAAGGGTGCGAACTGATGAGCGACGGGAGGGCTACCGTCCCTGCAGACTTGGAGCCCTGCAAGGATCGCGAAGTTCCACGTTCCGGGAAAGGATGAGAATTCTCAGGGAGTGATTTTTTTTAAATAAAGCATCGGGTGACCTCGAGACGTCCTCAGGGACCTCATTCCAACGTCAATTCAATCCCCAGAGCGAAAACGAACACCTACAAACAATTCAAACAGGATCTCGAAGAGTTGAGGGCTGAGACGGAGAAAATCGCGGCCGAAGAAGATGAGCTTCTGCAGCGCGAAAAAGAAGCCACTGAAAACCTTATCACGGCTGAACACAGTAAAGGTGATCATGACTCCATCATGAGAAGCGAGCAATTCGCTCTACGAGACCTCTTTCCGGAACTTGGTTTTTGCAGGCGTGGGCGGATATTCCGACGCCCAGAGCAAACTAGAGCACATATCCACTCTGAAAGCTCGTCTGGACCAACAGAAGGGAGCGACTCTCGAAGAAATGTCGCAGATGGTCGAACAACTCAATGCACACATAGCTGCCAAGAAAACCGAGTTGGCCCCTCTCATAAAGGTCAGATCTCCTCCTCAACTCTTCCAGACCGTTCAGCATGCAAGGCTCCCATACTTATACACGAAGTTAGCCCCAGGCCGCCCCGGTCTCTCGGGGTTTGCGTCCTTTGCATTGTCTTGAGTCGATTCCGAGGATTCCTAGATACGATGCCGTCTAACCCCACAGGAGCTTAAGCCGTTGCGGCAGAAAATTTTTGAGCTTCATGAGGAATACGAGGACAAAAAGAACACCTACAATTCTTGCGCGATGGGTCTCGACACCTCTATGGCCAAATTGGAGCTCGATGTTCAACAACTGAGGTAGTCTAGCGTTCCACCGACCAGGAATGTCGGAGTCGTACATCGGCATGACGATCTATTCACGCTGCCCATTGTCCTCAGAGAGCGAGTGGCCTCCCATGAGTCGAAATATCATTTGAATAACCGGGAGAGAAGACTGGAAGAACTCAAGATGGAAATCATGATAAAAGCCGAGCTGGCCGCCTACAAGAGTTCGGATCCGAAGATAAAGAAGCAGACTTTTCGCGAGAAACTCAATGCGGCCATATACGATCAGGTCATGTGCCACTCCTTCTCGATAAAGAATAACGGTTGGGCGATCCCTCGCCTAGTTCTAAGAATTGACTTCGCATATCAACAGGAAACGGACGCAAAAGAGTTGCGAGAGCGGCAGAAGGACGTCAATCAGAATCAGGACAATCTCGCTAATCAGCTGAAGATGTGGACCGACTTGACCAAACTGCTGGAAGTCAAGATACGTAGTTTCAAGCAATCCCAGGGCTTGTCGATGATTTGAGTCTCCTGATTCGCCAATCAATCCTGTTGGAATACCCGCTTTTGATTCCCGTAGTGTGGGATTCGAGTCCCTGTATATGGTACGTTCGGAGCACGCCCATGCACGACCTCGCGGGTGAACAGATTTAATTTATTGAGTTCATCGTGTTGAGTCAAACTGAAATAAATCCCTCATGCTCGGAACGGGCGAATGACTCCGCTGAAGCATGGAACGAGCTTTCGATAGATCTCCTCCCGGAATGGCCTCTGAGAATGCTTCGACGAATTGCGAATCGAGGTCGCAGCCTAACAGTGATTCCAGAGGGTCGACTCGTACATCTCCTGTTGTGTACCGAACACAGTTTCTCGATAGAAACGATATACATTCTTAAATACATTTTACACGGAGGGTCCTCTTCCTTCAGGTTTCATTTGACCCCGTTCGAACGTCCCGCCGGGTGTTCCGTGACGAATTTCAGCTCCAATGGCGTCTGAGGGGCTGAGGATGAGTGATTCGATGAGGCTACCTCCGTGGATTTTGTCGAGCTGTTGCCGTGTTGAAGGTTCGTCTCCATTGCGGGAGGTGGAGGACGAATGAAGTTCTGTAGATTTCCGTTGTCAAAGACAAGTCATTAGCCAGTCGCTGACTTCCGCCGCGAATAATGGGACGTCTCGCTAAACACCGACAGAAACCTACCGCTAAGCATCTCGAAACTCGCCCCCTCTTGGACAGATATCGAGCGACGGCGTAACGTGTGTCCTTCACCAGCATAATGTGCACAAAGAAAATCAGGGGACCCTGCCGAGAAAAGATCTCTGGTTATTGATGCAAGACCGGGATCAGAAATGCGGAAATTGAATTTCCGCGAGTTCAAAATCTGCCCTCCGAGTCCGCCCTTTCCAGGATGGACTCTCGTTGGAAAATACATCCCCAGATTGGTCCCGGGGACGATCTCCCCATGTTCGAGTGGCTGATCGCTGTACTCCGAGAATCGGTTTGTCGAAGTGATCGACCGCATTGGAGCAAGTCTGATACTAATGATCAGTCGAGGCTCAATCCATAATAATCACTGAGACCTTCCGCGAGCTCCTGTTTGCCGTAAACGCAGCAGAGAGTCGATCGATGACTCTCTCCGCCGAACATGGAGAGGTGAGTTGCGATACATGTTCGATATGGGGTTTCACCTATCGAAGCCGCGTACACTCGAGAACCCGCTGATTTCTCTCTAATCTGCAGTCTCACCTGCAACAGCGTGAAGAACACGAAGAGAAGAATGCAGAAGAACTTGATGAAACCGTAGTCGAATAGAATCGAAGTAAAGCCCAGCGTCCATTGAAGTCCGAGCAGAGCAGTCATGCAGATTATCCCGCGAAGATATCTGAGGAGCTCTGATTTGACTGTCCTCACGGTTCGATTGATTGTGCATAAGCGATACATCACAGCCGATATCGCAACAAGGTTGACAGTCAACATGAGCTGAAATACGAACATTCGTTTCCATCCTGCCCGCAGTTCGCCCAGGCGGTCTCAAAACGGCATGAAGGAAGGGAGCGACAGATTCCCGATGGACGGAATTCGGACTTGCATCGAGTATTCAACGTACCATTAGCGGACCGAGGAACGTCCAGTAGAGTCCGCTTTCTTTCCTTTGGTCCAGAAAACAGAGCTGACCCGATTTAGACGAATAAGGCCTGTCGAACGTAGCGGCTATGGCGGGGAAAATTAAAGGCACCATGTAGCCGACTGCAATGTAGAAACGGGTGTGCGACTCCGGTGGCCTGAAGACGACAATCATGAGCTGCAGAATGTAGATGCCCTCTAGAGTAGACCAAGCGATGACAGCCAGGAAAGTGTAGTGCACCAGCATCCCCAGGTAGATGCTGCATTCGTACTGCAACGAGCGATGGTTGAGTTCAAGCCGCACTCCCATCTGGAATGAGCAAGCCTGCTCGACGGAGAGACTGACCTTTTCGGAGAACGAATAAGCGAAACTATGAATTACGATGATGACTTCGGAAACGAAAAGACACAGGCAGAGATTGAGATGGATCACTGTGAGCAGGGATCTTATTTGACTGAAAAAGCGCAATCTTCAGTCCTTCTGGTTGTTTCATTAGAAGCGCAGGAGCTCGCGTGCAACAAATCATCCTCTTGGCAGGCCGGCCTCGAGTATGGTGAGACCTCCGAGACTTCACATCGAGCTCCTGCCAACTTCGTCGATGATCTGAGCAATGAATTGGCAGCGATCTTTACCGAACCAAACCAAAGATGAGAATGGACAGAAACAGAGCTGTCAGACTGAAGAAATCCACTGAAAAACAAATCCCTTGAATCCTCAATAGAAATCGGACAGCAATCGATCGGACGTCGACATTCAAGGCCGATGGTGGCCTCAAAGTTCTCCTCTTCGAGATACAACATCCTCGGTGTATGATAGAGACGGGAAGTGCTGAGCGTACGTATGTAACTGAATACGTTGAGGGCTACGTCGAAGTTGCCGTCGAAACTCTCGGGGAGGAAAACGGATCCGAACGTCGTTGTGTGGTTGCAAAAACAATGAATCTTCCCGTCTTGCACTCCTTTGAACACGCATCCCCCGTCGTCAAGTACACTGATCGCAGAAAAACTTGTTAGAGCGAGCCGCCATGAGACGAGCACATCGTGAGGAAACTGGAATAATTGCACTAACCCTTTGCCGATGTTATAGTAGACGCACTCGTGACTGCTAGCTCTTCTGACTTGCTTGGTTCTCCGGTCGAAGAATAAGTTCACTTCGCCGACATGCTTTTCTCCGTTGCCAAGTCTCATGAAAAACTCGACCAGATCGCTCGAGAACATCTCCGGACCGTTGTAAGTAGCGTCGATCATTTGATTCTGGACGATCTTATTTTCGAACTCCATATGCGTAGTGACAATGGTCCCCTCAGTAAATTCTCCTGTCCGAGAGGAAAATTCAATGACACACACGATGTCTGAGATTCAAGGAAAAATCCGATCATTCTCCACGTGCGATCAATACATCTCTCACCCGTATATTTCGTTCTCACGGCGGAGGTTCTCACTCGGGAATCGTATATGAGATCTCTCTGCAGCTTAAGGGTCTGTACTCGATAGAGGACCGTCGACTTGATTCCTGGACGGACATTCGAGATGGTGGTGTTGACGTCGGTCAGCACAGCGATCTCCGATGAGACATTCGCGACAAATCTTAGGATGCTCACATACTCTTCGGGATGCGTCATTTGCCCAGCGAGCTCCGGAACGGTCTTGGAAAACAAGTCCTCCGTAGCGGCCGAGGCTCTCTGCGCTGGAGGATGAAGACGCCCCTTGTTAATAGCCTCTAGTGATCGTGCCCGTCACAGCTATTGAACCAATGCATTCGCGAAGCCCAAGTTCCCCGGCACCTTTCGAAGGACACTTACGATCTCGATCAACCAACCGCTGAATCGCGTCGAGGAGCTTGTCCTGGAAGCTTTTCAATCCCGCGAACGGTTTCTTGAGATCTCTGATACGATTGGTGACTTCGTCGATCAGTTTCCCGGCATCCTTCTCCTCCGCCTGAAGTTCATGAATCTCGAGTCAGAAAAGACAGACGAGCTGGAGTCCCAGCATGCATGACTCCGCTCTTCAACCCCGCCCTCAGAGGAGCTCTGGGCTTCATGATAATCGGGGGAGAAACGGAGATCATTCTCCCGAGAGCTTGATTCCGAGCTCTGCCCGATGTCCCCTTTGTCGCTCGAAGCTCCCCGGATGAGACTCACAATCGATTTGTTTATTCTCTCGATGGTTTCTTGGTCGACTCGGTCGCCTGGCGTCACGTGCGACCCTTCCGACGTTGTTCCAATCGATGACGTCGACGTTTCTTTCTCTGCCGGAGAAGCAGACGACTCTTTCTTCTCCGGTGGTTCTGTAGTTGTAGTCCCTCCCGAATCCTCCACCGCTTGGCAAACGAACCAAATGGGGGTGCTGGTTCCATCTTGCGACGAGCAATTATCATAATAGGTAAATGCGTAGAAGTCCTGAGTGAAGGGCCCGGCCACATACAGTTTACAATCTTCCGAGGACCTGCAATCAATTCAAGTCCCCCATCGCGGTCACTGATGTTCGACTGTCTCTCTTATTTGTTTGGTCACTTTGGGGTGCTTAGCTCCGAGGCGGGGCATGAATTTGAAAATTAGGTTCACGGCATCTACATCTCGTCAGCGAAGTACTCACAAACTTTTGCCAAAAACAAGGTTGAGTCGCTTAAGTATCTCATCTCCTTCTATTTGCGCGGCAACCTCGGTCTTTCCGCGGAGTTCCTGCAGGACTTCTTTCGCAATGGTCTGATCTGCTCTTTTCGTCCCGCCCCTCAGTGTTTCGTCGGAGTTGATGTCCCATATGGTCGCTTTCTCTCTTGCGCATTTCTTCGCTGCTTCTTCATAGCTTAGACTGAGAGCTCCTTTCCGGTCCACGAAAGAGAAGTACCTCCTGTCCGCCCCCAGCCAGACCTGCTCTGAAGAGTAAGAGTTCCTCGAATGTTGAAATGAGTAGGTTGGTCACTGGGAAGCACTCAGAGGTGGCGAAACGACGCTCTCTGTCGGTGAGTCGGAAGGAATTCGGCCGGTTGGAGGGTGCAATCAACAACGCGTGCTGTGGAGATTGCGAGGAGTTCTGTGGAAAGCCATATCCACTTCCGTGACGATGGGCTCGTTTCAAAAACGAAGAGCGATTGCGAGGAGAAGCCCATGTTTCGGAGACTGCTGCAAACGTTTCGGTTTGCGTTCTCTGTGAGAGGATCATTCCGACGGCGCGGCGTTTCACTGCCACGATTCCAAGAATTGCGGCCCGACAAAGGCGAGAGGACGAGCATTACCGTTTTAGAGCTCACTCAGACTGAGATATAACAGGAATGTATATGTTTCGTATCAGAATGTCCAACTATCGGCTTCTCTGCTTTCTACCAGTCCGCAGAACAGAATCAATTTACAGCTCCGTGTGCGAGCATGACGTGGAGATGTACCAAGTCTAATCTATCTTTTCCGATGCTCAAATCCGCTGATTGCGACTACGGCGGGGACGCTGCGGCGCGGCGTCGCATTGACGGCACGGGCTCCTAAACTATGAGACTGTGAGCATTCCGACATCGAGATCTTCGATTTGATCGCAGACGGGCTCGAGTCTGCTATTCTTATCTCAGCTCGAACATTATGCATCCGGGCTTCCGCAAGATCCCACGAGGACTACTCACCGGAGTGATCTGATTCGACTTTCGTGTTCGCAGACACAGTGGCCCACCAGAGCACAGCGAATGACGCGAACGATACGGCTTTACAACGGAAGGACATTGTTCTTCCTTTCGCTCAAATCACATACTGCTTCGAAGCCGAGAAATTGCTCATGAAAGGGATTCTAAACACAGTAGAGGCCGTTCCCAGCATTAAGTCAACTGGGATCCACTCGAGCGCTCGAGGAACACAGTCGTCAGTACCTTTTCGAGAACGACCGCTTTAGAGGAAAGGGTACGGACCGCTTAGAATCTCTGTGTTGGGACTTTAAAATTCCGCGCAACTCTCGGCGTCATTTCGAGCAATCGAGATCGACACCGCGAATTCGTACGGAAGCGGGTCAGTATCTCCGTCAAATCAGATTCTGATCGAATCTGTTTGGCGATCGGGAGAAGCGTGAACTTGTGTGCCGGTCCGATGAAGATAGCTGATCATGCTTGCCGAGAGAAATTTCAAGATTGGCTCTCCACATATCATCGTCCCTTCCTGTACCCTGAGAAGCATCGGAATTCAAAAGGTCAGAACGCAATTTTTCATTTATGCTCCTATCAAGAAGCGAACACGGAAGGAAAAGCCTACGATGGTTCCGATAAATTGAGAATTTTTAGGAAAGTCTCACTCATCTATTCGGCTCGGGCTCGTCCAGCTATCTCGATGCCCCAAACTGACTGACTGAGTGAGTGAGAGCAGTTGAGGCTATCTCAACTCCTGATGTCACCTGTACTGTCCTTCCTTCCAGCGGATGTCTAGAATCGGATGTCTACATGTAGTTCCTATCTGCGTTGACGGGCCTACCCTCAGAATTTCACCATTTCCGCTTCACCAGCGGCTGGGGCATCGACGAGAAATTATCGAGCTTTAGGGCGAATGCAGATCCTGAACTCTGGAGCCAGGAAGATGGAGGCTCCTTTTCCGTAAGAGGCTCTCCGGCGAGGTCCGTCGATGCATGGAGGTCAAATCCGGATGGAGAAAGAAACTGACTATGCCCTGAGCGGAGGTTCCGCGACGATGTCCGCGGCCCGGTGCCCCCTTCCTCATTTCCCGAAAGGACCCGCAAACGATCTTAGTGATCGGCCCTCATTTTCATCTCCTCGGTTCACTCGGAAGGTGATCACTGCATCTGGCGTCTGATGCTAGAGATCTTCATCTCGAAAACGGTGAGGCACGAACGTCATGGAATGTAAACCCAATGCGTCGATCGCCTTGCGAGAGCCAGTGGCGTCTCCGCGGTCACTCAGAGGGAGCTAATGGACAGTTGAGCATGAGCAATGCTCTGCGTGAAACCGTCTGGAGAACTCGCTAGGGATGGGGATTAATTCATCGACGCCGCGGCGGACTTTCAGCGGAGTCGACGAGCGGGGACGACAACCCGAGAGACCAATGAACGATATGGAATGGACTCGTAGATATCACTGTTTCATCACAAGGTTTCAAACGTGATTGGACGGGGATCTATCTAAATGATGGTCTTCGCTCTCTTAAGCTCGATCTCGGCGTACCGCCAATCGAATATCTGCCTACCCTCCGCGTCGACGTGAGGATCGGACCGCGCGAATTCGTCGGCCTGACGGCCGTTCGTCCGCTTGCTATCCATGAAAGTCGCCGTGGTCCGATGGAGAAAATCTGGGGTCTCGATGTAATCACCCGCTCACGCAGGATTATCCGGTGGATGCGCCTGTTCTCATATGACGGCAAATTCGTGAAACTTTTACCAGACGGTAGATAACAGCGATCGGGAATCGGGCTGCGAGCTCTCCTGGCTCTGGAATCGTCCGATTTAGTCAGAACCAAATGAAGCTCTTCTGATGCTGGAACTCCAACATTCCCGCAACATGGCGAGCTCATTCGTCATATTGGGGAGGAGGGCGATCCGGGGACAGTAGCGTCCATAGGGGGGGCCAAGGGGGCCATGCCCCCCCCCCAAGATTTTCAGTCGACCTGTCGTCAGATGGACGCCTTTTCTACCCGATAAATCGAGTTCAGATTCGGTTCCTCCCGGTCTATTTCGATTCTCTCTCGGTCTGATGAGAACTATTTATTGATGTCGCATGTTCGCAGTTAGGGAGCAGATTGGCGAGAATCACCATCTCCGGACAAAATCGAGAAATTGTTCTTTTTGATGCGACTCAAGAGATCGGCTGGCCCCCCCCAAAAAAAAATCGTATGGACGCGCCTGTCCGGGGATGACCCAGCTAGTTGGCTACGCGAGACGAATCATGACAGACCTCCTTCAGGAACAACACCCTGGTTCGACATCGAAACTCGTGACCCCACACCTGTTTCGAAGCCGCATCAATTACCTTATGCTACCTAGGAGGCTTGAAGCTAGGACCAGAAGTCACATTTCGTTACTGTTATGATCAAGCATATTGTACATGCTGAGATTCTTACTTTTCATACTACGTCTATCATCTAGGAGAACAGTCGCGTATTTCCTGAAGGATCTCTCAGCCGAAACACTGTTGCCGGGTACACTCAGACAAGTCAGAGCGATCTTCGCCAATTGGGGGAAACGAGCCGTCGCATTTATCCATAAAACTACCGGGTGAGACGAAACCTCGAGTTTTCTCTCGGCCGACAAGTATAGTCGGAGTTCAGCCTTCCCCGGATCCTTTTCCTCAAACCACAGTATATTTTCGATGACGTAGCCGGCTTCGATCTCGATTGTTTTCAACTTCGCGGGGTCGAATACGCGACAGGCGCGGAAGAAGTCCGCAGCGGATAAGCATATCTCGCCATCGATGGTCCCCTTGGAATCTATCGAATTGCATGCGGGGTCTGTCGCGGAAGGAGACAAACTGACCACGTTTATCCCGTGAAAAAAACTCCGAAATTCGCCGAAGGTGGGCATTCCGGTCAAATCGCGGATTTCATGGCGGACGTGGCGGCCGCCACACACGCCTAGCCCTACTTATAAGTGACCGGGAATGAATGAATGTTCCGAGCGATATCTCGAGCCCCCTGAAGAAATTTCGTGATCATCGATTGTATCCTATGTCAAGAGCTTGGATCTGATGAATCCGGAAACTCCTACAGTCTCTCCATCGGACGTTGTCTGTGTCGAGTCGCCAGCGACACTTCGTCCGTCGGTCGTGGATCCCGCACCGGGATGGCAATCATCACTCGGAGCGTCCACCGAGGATCCATAGGATGTGGCCAGAGAGGGATCGTGATCAGCGGGCGACATGAGTAATCTTCTGCATTCCTCCGGAATAGCGACCGAGAGTCGGTGGACCGGCACCGTAACTCCGAGCTGCATCGGCACATGCGGAATCGCGGTCGCGTGATGCCAAGAAGATCGGCAGCCTCGAGGACGCCCCTCGGAAGCTCCTTCTCCCTTTCTTTCCGAACCTGGTGTCAGGCCAAACTTTCGGGAGGATCCGCTCTCACGAACGATTATGGAAGGTTCCATGGAGCGGGATACCTCCAGACGAGCTGTCAATTCTTGAATCTTGCGAGAAGCCCTCCCGGGATACGAATGTGACCAGGCTCTGAAGACCGCATACCCCTTAGCGGTCGCGCGGAAGTCCCCAGCCTATGGCGGATATGGCGTCTCACTGTGGTTGGAAGTAGCGAGACTTGCCGGCGGCAAAGATTGAAGACGTGTCCATGCTTCTCCTGTATGTAAACCGTACAATGTGTAATACAACTATTGAATTCGACATCGATTTGTGTCAGTATGTGTATGGAATAAGTCATGTGATGCGGTCGTGCGATGGGATGAGATAAGATTGAAGATGCTACCGTCAAGGAACGGGGAAAGATACTCAGCGCCCGCGTGGTCGGAACTGGAAGTGGCTGAATTCGGCTAGCCCTTCTGGGAGAATTTAGGGAAGAATCATCAAGTTGAGCTACACCGTACACCGTGTACTTATTCTCTCGGGCTCCTCATTCCCGTTTTCGGCATCATCTTGATCCGCTAAGTCGTTGACCGAGCTTATTGGAAAATGATCTCATCGTGAGTCCTGATGCGAGGCGAATTTTTGTAGAATCACAAGTACTCGGAGGTTCCAACAGCACAGCCTTGGAAGATCCGTCATCGAACAGCGAGAAGCCCCAACGTCGGTCAATTGTCAGATTCGCTTTCGTCCGTGGTATCGGACTCGTCATCTTCCTGTTCTACTGCACGATCGCTATCACTTCCACCGGAGCTAGACTCACTCTCGCTCGGACTGGGAGGTTCTTCGATATGAGGTTCGGGCGTCTCACTCTCTTGACCTGAATCTACCTCCGAAGGAGAAACAGAGTGAACACTGACGGACCCGTCATTTGAGCTTGTATCGGGCTCTGAGAACCCGCTTTCGGGTTCGCTGGTGAACTTCTTCGAGTTTTCCACGCCTGCTCCTCGGAGAATTTCGAGATTTTGCTCCCACCGACCCAGATCAGGCGGCCCTGTTGCGGATGAGCGTGCCCGCTGAGGCTGCGCGACAGACCTAATGTGAGCCGTTCCATGGGATAGTTCCACTTCGGAGCCCTTCGACGTCCGGCTTCTGAGGATCAGTTTCTGCAGAGCTAGGACGGGCCTACGGAAAAAAGCTGCGAGCATATCCGATTTTGTCCACTTTGTTCCGTCAATTGCTAGAGTGGAATCTTCGTTATCCCTTATCTTCACAGTCGTCCGGGAGTTTCCGAATCCTTGACCATATTCATTCGTGTCTGGGCGTGGTGACATCAGCTCCAGTGCGCCCCTGATAGCTGCGAGATGCGTTCAGCGATGATCAGCCGGAGACCGGGATCGATAAGCGGGAAGGCAGTGAAATCATTTATCTCAAATCAGCAACAGACATTGACTGAAGCTCGCTGGCTCTTTCCTTCGAATGTGTCGGAATATGGATTTCCCGATGAATGCCTAGTTCTTCATTGATTCCTGCCCTGGAAGCGATCACCTGCAAGGTCTCGCTATTGATTTTGCGGAAATCAGTGACGAGCGGAGACGTACTGCGGCAGCTGAACGCCGAATCTTCTCCATGACTGCGAGTCCATCGAATCTAGAAGCAGAACCCGTCAGGAGCATTGACCCTGAGGAGAGGGGACTTCCTCTCTCATTGAGCAATATGACAAGAAGCCAGAATTTCCAGGTACCTGGACTTTGCGAGATAGGCAAGCAAAAAAGCACTTAAAAATAGGCACTGTCAGATTGTGGAATAAACATCAGAGGACATGCCGAATCACTGAACACATGATGATAAGCCGAGAATCTGACAGGCAGCGAATCGAGTCTTCGAGGATTAGATGCATGGAAGGCACAGAGTTTCCTCGTGTTTTCCTCCTTGATTTTATTCTTCCCGAGCTCCATGAGGCTGAAAATATTCAATTGAGCATCGAGCGCTCGAAGAATCTTAAAAGAGTGGCCAATATCATGGGAAGGATAGGGATAGACACGATATCCGGGAATCCCCTCACGGAGGGAAATTATGTCTCTCTCTTGGGTCACGGAGTCTCGTCGAGCGGCAAGGAGGGCCGTGAGACGAAGAACATAGTCGGATGACATCGTCACTCATCAGCAGATGATGGGCGAATGATGAGAGCTGCCAGGGAAGGAACTCCGAATTCCATAGTACTCCCGTTGTCCCTCAACAGTTCTGAGGGTGTGGCTGATCTATTCCACTGCGTGGGTCCGACCGAGAGTCCCTCGAATCACGAGCTCAGCCTTTGGCCTATGGTCGATGGAGACCCAAGGGAACTCGAGTGAGACGTGGAGGCAAGAGAGGCAGTAGGCCTATCGGAAACGAAGGATAGACAGAAAGACAAAAACTCGATGAAAAGGAAGGCCCTTTCTGGCATTTTAGACCAAGCCTTGAGCCGCTATAGGAACGGAGAGGTCGTTTTGAAGAATATCCACGGAATCGCCCGGTTGGGCTCCAACAATAATGAGCAGCAGGGATCATCAGCACGACGTGTCCTCCATTCTTCTCCGTCTGGCGATCCAGTTTGCAAAAAGTACACCACCGCCTTCCTCCAGCCATGCGGACCGCACGAGCATACAATACGAGACCGTTACGATCGTAGAGCCAAAGGCGGTTCCGAGCCGGCGACGACAGCGAAACGATACGCGATGTCCTCTTTCCTTCTCTCTCCTCACACTAGTATACACACACACCACACTCGCTCGCCCACAACAGACGACAGGAAAAGTCTCCCAGACGACAACAACAAGATGTCAGCTGCGGCGAAGCGATAATGGTCACTTTCACGGAAAGCTTTCGAACGTCGACGATTAGCGATTAGGGATTGAAATGAAAGCCCGTTGAACTAAAGTCCCACCGTCAACCATGGCTCTGTTGGCAGTCTTGGCCAATCTCTGCATGAGTCTGTTGCCTGTGATGGCCAACGCACCTACGGATATCCGGATGGACGAGAAAGCCCGAACAATTCACCGGATCGACTCAATAAACATTCTGGTTTACACGGTGCTTCTAATTCTCACAGTGTGTCTCATCTGGGCCTTCAAGCGTCGTAGGGCGAGGTTTCTCCACGAAACCGGCCTGGCAGTTATTTTCGGTAAGTTCGATCTTCAAGCAAGGGTTTCGCTCTAGAATTCTAGATCCCAGAAGATGACTTTCCGCGAGCTCATCTCCGGCTGCGGACCGGTACTGCAGTGTATGTCTAGGGACGGACCTCGCATCGGCGTCGCTTTCTGAGCCTGATTGCTCTTCCCGGATCGAAGACGCCCTTATGGACTTCTCGTGAGGAACGATCGAATGGAGACAGGTGGCTGAAAAGCGACCCGGCCGAGAATGAAAATAGGCAAAAGAGTGCTGATGTGTCCGTTCCACGCGAGTGAATTATGACGATATCGCAGTCGCGGGATCTCCCTTGGTGCTCCGCCGCTCAAGGGTTTCAGCATCGCGCTCGGGCGAGGAACAAAAATCGCGTACATGTTGCTATGCGAGCGAACTCCTTGTGGATAGTTGCGTTCGAGGAGTTTATGGCTCTCGCGTAAAACATTCGAGGCCGTCACCGTCCCATCGATCGGCTCTTCCGATTGTACAGTCTCGTGTCTGGTGCTGAATAGTAGCGAGGAGAGAGGCAGAAATTTCGCTGCATGCATATTTGAAGATTCCATTCCGTGAACATCCTGTGGCATGAAATTATCTGAGCGAGAAAATCATGCAAACTCATGCCGAGGTCTACGCGACCGCGAAACGTGCGAGGACCACCCTACCGTAGACTGGTCAACTTGTGACTATTGATGAAATTGGCTTAAAGATCGGTCGAGATCCTTCGATCCATGCCGTAGGCCGGCTGTTCCTCTCCTTCTCCCCGTATCAACGAATAAGTGTGGGACCGTGCGGCCTCGCGGGGCTCAGATTGATGAGCCCAGCGTAAGACCAACCCCCCAAGGGAGAGTCCGTGTGTCATACGACGCGTAACTTGACCGGCGGATTCGTTCAGTCTACGCTTCGTACTATGCGAGTTTTGCGCTTCACGTAGTCTTCAGGCACGGAAGGCTGGGGACGCTACGAGGGCTTCGCTATGAGCTGAAGCATACAAAATCGACGGAATTCTCCACCTAGACTGACCTGTGTGGGTGAATATTGTCTCAGAATTCACTGGCGGTTTCCAGGTCTGATGGTTGGCGCGTCGATTCGGTACGCCAGCGAGGAAACAGAAACGAGCCATCTCCGTGTAGTCCCATTGAATAACCAGACTCTACCCGATCCTGGGTCCCCGCCGGACAACGTGTTCGTCCAGCTAGAAATCCAGAAGACGCCTGACGGCAGCCGGGAAAATCGTTCGTACGCGTATACATTTCGAGGTGAACTCACGGATGTGGAGAGCAAGAAGTTAGATCAGAAGGCTACGTTTGATCCCGAGATATTCTTCAACATCATCCTTCCCCCGATCATCTTCAATGCAGGTTACAGTTTAAAGCGGGTGAGTCCACTTTCTCATGGAGCTCCGCCTCATGATGAGCTCTCGATCAGATTCCATGCCAGGCTCTCGGAGAGACGGCGAAGGCGCCGATACTTACACTTAGTTTCTACGAGAAGGGTTATACACCACTGTCCAAAGTATCCTCCTGGATTGACATGAGCTATCTGGATTGTTTTCAGAAATTTTTCTTCCGGAACCTCGGAACAATAATGACGTACGCCTTCTTTGGCACGACCATATCGTGCTTCGTGACCGGTAGCGTGCTTTACATCTTTGTGCTGGCGCTTCCTCACTTGCAATTCACATTCAATAATTGCCTTTACTTTGGTGCGATTATATCGGCCACGGATCCTGTGACGGTTCTCGCCATTTTCCACGACCTTCAAGTCGATGTGAATTTGTATGCCCTGGTGTTCGGAGAAAGTATTCTCAACGACGCGGTTGCCATTGGACTCGTCTCGTAAGTTTGCCCCGAAATCACTCTCCCATGATCTCACAGGATAAGTTCTGGAACGAATCAAGCCTGGGTCGCTCTTCCTTGCAGAGCAATCACAAGTTACGAAGACGTCAGTAACAAGGCTACTGAGTTCGAGCTGGCCGCCGCGTTGAAAGCATTCAGCAACTTCTTCTACATATTCGCTTGTTCTTTCCTCATCGGAAGCAGCACGGGATGTGTAACGGCGCTGATTACCAAATTCACCAAGCTCTGCGATTTCCCACTCCTGGAGAGCTGTTTGTTTCTGTTGATGTCATACTCATCGTTTCTAGTCGCCGAAGCTCTCGAACTGACTGGGATTGTCGCCGTACTGTTTTGCGGAATCTGCCAAGCCCACTACACTTATAATAATCTCTCCGTGGAGAGCCGGCAAAGAACAAAACAGCTCTTCGAGCTGATGAACTTTGTTGCGGAGAATTTCATCTTCTCCTATATTGGAGTCAGCATGTTCACGTATAAGAAACATCATTGGGACTTATTTTTCATCGTGGCTGCCTTCATTTCGATCGCCGCCGGACGTGCCATGCTCGTCTACCCACTGACCTTTCTCCTCAATCTCGGCCGCACCAACAAGATACCAATGGCTTTTCAACATGTCATATTCTTCTCCGGTGAGCATAACGACCCATTATCATTAACGCCGTCGCCGTCGCTACCGGATCGCGGAATCATGCGGATGTCGCGATACAACGTACAAAATGTAGTTTTTCGATCTGCAGGACTCCGAGGAGCTATGGCATTCGCGCTAGCCATCAGGAACACTCTCGGTCTCCAGCGCCATGTGATGCTAACTACAACATCTTTCACGGTGATCGTTTCTGTGATTGTCTGCGGAGGATCGATATCCACACTCCTGCGGTGGCTCAACATTCCAGTCGGTTCCGAGGACCACGATCAAGAGTTACTGAATATAACGCAGCAGCAGCGAGCCCAATCGGAACTCCGCAGTCCTACGGGAGAACCGTTGAAGACTCCTTACGAAAAAGCCTGGCTAGTCCGGAAGTGGTATAACTTTGATGTCAGGTACGCTCACTCAGTCAGAGAGTCCGTAGTGAAGTCGAATCCAACCCTGAGCGGCTTTCCCACTGACTGCACCGCTCATCCCACAGCAATGATATGTCCCATTCCATCAACAGTGCTGCATTATTTTTTTTCCATTCCAGGTTCATGAAGCCCTTCTTGACCCACAGTCGACCAACTTTGATTGAGACCCTGCCTTCCTGTTGCATGCCCCTGGCTCATCTGTTGACTTCTACCGAGCAGCTCACACAGGTGAGTGATTTGCGCTATCTTCGATTCCAATGAATCTTGGGGAGCGAGTCTACGACTATCTCAGTGACAGCTTCGGCATGGCCTCTGAGCATGGGCATGATGTGAGGGAATCGTCATGTGATCCTTATTGTCCCAAATGTCCTGAGCCCGAAGACTTCCAATCTATCTCGTTCGTGCAACAACGCGAGCTGGCCAAAGGACGCCACTCTGACTATGTACGCCCTTGAAGAATAATTGCTGAACTAACAGCGGCAGCTTGCTCTCAAGCAGAAGTTGAACAGCTTCAAATCGCTGTCGACGGCATGTATCCCGGCAAGCAGCAGCAGCAGCGGCGGCGGCGGCAGCAGCGTCGGAGGCTCCGGGATCCCCGATCCAGTACCGCATCTTTGCGCCAGTATCGAACAAGCAGCTGTTCACTTCCATAAGGTGACGTTGGCTTTCGAAGATGAGGCTTGCAAGCTTATGAGCGAATGATCGCCACGACGGCCACCAGCACCAGATCCGCTGATCCCTCACCGAAGTTTATTTCGACGTCGCATCCGGAATATTCATGGGCTCCAGAGTCCGATCGGGCTACCGTGTCACCTTCAGCTTTCGTTCGGGGACACAGATGAACATCGTAATATCGTCCTGGCTGCACATTTCCGTTTCTTGGAATCCTTCCTCTTCTGTTGTCGAACGTTATCGTTCTTTATGTTTGTCTCTCCGTATTGGTGTTCTCCGGGGATAGTCGTTGAGAACACTCGCACGGTCCGCAGAGTGTTCGAGTCATACGAACCGTATGAGAAGATCGGCACTGTCGGGGCGTCGCGTCGGGGGAGGAGGCCGACGTGTTTGCATGTTTGTCGAAAGTGAATGCCACTAAACATGACTCGTTACTGGAAACTCTAATTCAAAGCACGTTCGCCTCATTGACGATTTTCGCTGCACGTATCAAATGAAATCGCTGGTGAGTGTTCTACTACTAATGCCCCAGTTCTGCTCGAGATTTCGTCGGCTCCCGAAATACAATATATCTGTCGCAGCTCCGCATTGATGGGACAGGGCACGATTGCGATGACACCGATGCAGGATCGAAATCCAAAAAGCCGCTCGCTCGAAACTGAATACCATACTTTTCAGGATGACAATTGTCGCCACACTCGCGAAGACGACTCAGATACGGACCTCTGCCTCGACGAAAGTGACTTCAATTTTGAGCGAACGAATAGTCTCACTCAAGCTTCCCAAGCGCTCGTGAACCACGTTTATTATATCGAGAAATAGTTAGCGCTCTATGCGAACAGTGATATCGCGTTTTGTGATGCGACTCATTTCCGGTAGCTTCAGAAACGAAAGTACTCGTGTTCCACTCTAAAGTTTGGAGGCGTCATTCACGATCTATAACCGATGGTCATCATTGAAGGAGACGAGGTCGGAGTGCGTGGATGATTTCGCTCGTGATCAGACTTCCCAAAATGGTCCCATTCTAACATGTCTCCCAATGATTCTGCATCACTATCGAATCTCGAGCCTCGATCCCGAGAAGCGTAACTTGGACCCGTTCGGGGACGATGCGCATCAGGGAGGCTTCCTTCCCTGAACTTTCGAGCTTTAAACGGCACTTGGAGATTTTGCGCGACTCAATCGGTGGATTCCTAGATGAAGTCGATGAACTCTCCCTGCCTGAAAAGAGTATTCTGTACATTCAATGCATTCTAGCAACGCTGTACAAGTCATTTCCAACAAATGAGCTACTCGCTCAGCAACCAAACAAGTCATTTTCGAGCTGCGGGCTCTGACGTTCCCTCGATTGTCGCAATCACGAACTCGCGTCCGAGATGAGCTCGACTTTCAGTGATGAACTGGCAGCAGAAGAACTCGAGACAGACTGTCTAGTCGGACCAGACTCACTCGAGGTTACTTCCCCCGGGGGCTCCGATTTCTCCCAATGAAGAGGAGTTTCTAACTTAAGGATGTTGATAATTTATTGTGGTTGGGGAGGGACGATGAATTCTTGTAAATGCGAAAGCTACGATAATCCAGCAGATCGGGAGTAGCCTAGGGATGTTGGAAGCGTTCTATCGCTGTTCTTGTAAATAGGTCCGAAGACCGGCTTGTGTGTGTCCGTGTGGTTTCCTTCGATTTTGATGTTGTCAGAAATAAAAGCTGAACCCTTCGTGGAGTCTTCGCTGAGTTTTCGTTTTACCGACGTCAAGGTCATGTTCTGGAGGGTATCCCCAATCGATGAGACCAGAGGTGCGCGACTAAGTCGCTCGGAGTTGGTGGAGCCTACGGAGAACTTGACATCGTACGCTTCCGTGGACACCAATGGATCGGAATTCTGAGGATTAGTCGTCGACTAGGAGAGAATATCGGTGCTGGCCCAATCCGGACGGAGTCATTCATGGAGTGATCTTAATCGGTTGAAGACTCTTCGGGGCTCTGAGAATTCTCCGGAACTTCTTCCGAATGAAGAACTTGCGGATATCCCCGCGAAGACCTCTCCGTGGGCCGTGCCTTCGCGAGGGCTCGCAGCACGGGAGGATGCAAGAATCCTCCGGGGGGGGCAGTCGGCCAATGCATCGAGAGGGGGGGCGGCGGATTGATCCCTGGGATCTGCTCCAGCATGGACCGTCGGAACCCTCGAGGGGGGGTGGGCGGTCGGGCGATCGCCGCCTTATGGAGGCGCCCCTGTTTCGCAGACGTTTAGAGCACGGACTCCCGTTTCGTGCATTGTGAATTGTTCCGGGTGATGGCCTCCCAGCTGCGGTCTGGAGGACAAGCCTCATCAATAACAAGACGCTTCAATTTCTAGGATATCGTGCCGATTCTTCCGATGGAAGACGATCCATCCGAAGGAATTCTTTTTGAACGGAGATGACGGAAAACGCAGCTTGGCTCTCTCTTGCCGGGAAGATTGAGGCCATGGTGCATAACCCGGTGAGGTAAGTTTCGGCGCCGCGATGGCCTCGGCGGCGATCTGCTCCATAGGTCATGCATGAGAAATGAGAAATCGCTCTCGTTCCGAAATAGAAGAAGGGCGTCCTAGGACTCAGAACAAATACTATCAAAGGGCGGAGCGAGGACTCGAATTCGGAGCCGACGGGGCTCGGAACTGAATAAATTGATTTTAATCTCATCCCTATGCAGCGAAGTCCCCACGCTCGTGGTCGGATATCTGGCCGATTACCGATGGCCCGTCGCTAGTTGCTAGTCAATGCTTGTCTCTTGAAGCCGTGGGCTTGAATAAAATGTGAGCTTGGTTGGCTCCTACGTGGAAAAGAAAGAAATTATTGTGGCTTACATGTGATCCGGGGGGCTCACATGTAAGCCACTCTCGAACAAAAGATCCACTACATCATCAACTACGATTCGAGAATTTCTTAAAATGAATGCCGGAGTCTCGGGCAGTGCATGAAACATTCTGATGATGAAACTCTATGCTCGCCATCATGAATCGCATGCAATGCGGGGCCAGTCCTTCGGCCCCGACTTGGTTATTGATCTCTTGTTAGAGAAAACAGACACCGACTGGAAATCGCTCGTCAAAGCTTGATGTACATACGGAGAGCCTGGCGTGGAAGCCGTGCGGAATGGAATGTTTGTGCGTAAGTGGAATCATCGACCAATGCTCCGGCACAACGGAGGTGCACACATCGTAACAAGGATCAGTGAGGTCCACGCTAGGGGAAAGGTCTTCAAGACCCCCCATGGGCCGTGCACAGACGAGCCAGAGGAACATATCGAGCATGTTTTTACGTGGAGAATTCCCCTCCAAAGTCCTGGCTCCGGTGGAGTCTACATAGATTCGAAAAATAGGCGAGTAATGAGCCTTGCTCTGTTCCGGAGCGATGGTCACCCTGATTCAGCTCCCCAACCCATGCTTGTGGCCCCTCCACGATTATGAGAGCCGCGGCTGGTCTCCTCTATGATGCAGTATAGCAGCGGTTCTTGGGGTAGCCCCTGCTTGGCCGCTCAGACTTCCGTTTATTTTATCGAATCGGAATGAATTACCCGAGCTCGAATGCATGCAGGATACTCCATGCGATCGCGGTCGGAGGTTTTGCGGTGATTGAGGGGAAAATATGGAAAGACAGAGTCCGAAACCGACGATTCCCCCCTTGTACTCTGTTCCTGGTGAGTCCAAACCCATGCGAGCCTATATGGACCGGCTCAATGAGCGTTTGACCACGAACGGGAAGTGTGTTCATTTACATGCCGAATAAGCGGAAGCCCTACGCAGGGAAAGGGTTATCCGTGAATCCAACCTTAATTTCAAAGATTCTCGATCATTCCATAGATATGGCAATAGTCGCTTAAAGACTTCTGGACACCTCGTTCATCTAACCGTCAACGATCCACGAGACAAAGCCAAACTCTTCGCCGATAACTTCGCAACTGTCTTCGATTCATCTGGAAACACCCGTCGGCACACACTCAATAACTTCTCTCAAGTCTTACATCCCGACTACCCACCACTACTCACCGAAGAGGGAATTCACGAACTGCTGAGCAATCTCCAACCGAAGACCCTCTTGATCATCTACAAGAAGTCGTTCGACGAATCGACTGCGCCCCAGCTCTTCGAGCGTGCCATTGTGATTCTCATCCATAAAAAAGGGTCGAAGACCGTTGTTGGGAACCACAGACCAGTCTCTCAGACTTCGACATGCTGTGGTATAATGGAGAAACTACTGGCTGGTCACATCAAACGATTCTAGAACAAAAATCTCCTCACGGATGACGCACAGCATGGCTTCGTCAAGCAACGTTTTTACCGCAACCCAACTGACCCTTACGCTACAGGATCGGACTCTACTCCATATACTTGTATGACACAGGCAGGAACCTCCCGTCATCAGTGAGGTACCTTGAATTCGCGGACGATCTTTAGCTCTATCGATCGATCAAATCCTCCGCGGACACGGGCTCCCTGCAGATTGCCATCGACTGCATGGCTGACTGGTATCGTGTACACAATATGCGCCTCTCTCCGGTGCCTCGCTCTCAAATCATCCTGGTGCCCTCACGTCAACATCATCGACGACAAGCCGTTGCCAAATCACTCTAGCTCCGAAGACCTCGGTGTATGGGTTCCGGTGGATCTCAGATTCTCAATTATTCACGTCACCGACACCGTCAGGTCGAGCATGTTCGTTGTAAAAACATTATTCCGCTGTTTCGTTATCCGCAACCCATATGTCTACCTTCGACGGACTCCTTTTTTCATCGAGGATCGATGATTTGGGTAATCAACGAGACTTCCACGTTTCGGGTGAAGTCTGCTCCGTGGGGCAGACATATTCGGCAGAAAGCGTTCTATTTTCTCATCGCGCTTGGTGATACGACAGCGACCCGAGGAATGCTTCTCCCCTTTCCACGTGCGAATGAGGAGCTCTTTGGGAACCTTGTGTTGAAGGGTTCCAAGCGTCGAGACGAGGAAAAGTTGTATCCTGCTGGTAGAGCTGCGTATTTCTTTCTCTTCGCGGCCTCGGCCTTCGAAACGACTGATCCTGCGCGAGTAGAACCGGGGCCGACAAGAGATAGGCTCAGAGGGTCGGTCTCCGTGGCGTCCCACTCGAGGGCGCGTTTCCCCCCTACAGAAGGGAATCGACGAGAGGCCGTCGGGCCGCCTCCCGTCATCCTGGATGAGTCCCTGGGGCTTCAACATGCAGGGCATACGAGCCGAACGGAGTGCTCGGCTGAGGGTGTCGTTCAAAGCCGCGTGGCGAGGACGGGACGTCGCCCCGCAGATTGCGCGCAAGAGAGACCATGATGAGCGAGGCAGCCGACCGGCTCCCCGCAAGAGCAGCGATGTGGCTCGACAAGCGCCGCGCCCAAGCGCAGTCCGACGCAGTTCTGGTCGAGCGATCGACCAGTCTCGTCCCAAGTGAGCCTGCTGGGATCGCATGCAGCCACTCGCTTGCTCCCGGACGAGCGACCGCCTGGAGCTCATTCAACAAATCATCATAGGCTCTTTCGTGAACCTTTTTCATCCAAGCCCGCTGCGAACCTAGGGCGTCCACTTCCGGAGAGAAGGCGGACAACCTCGCGGAGAGGGCGTCTCGCTGCGCGGTGAAGGTCGATAAAGCCGCAGGTGGGAGCAGGTCGCGCACCTGATCCGAGACAGCAAACATGGATGCCACGACCGCAGGTCCCGCAAGTGACAGAAGCGACGTGAGTCCCAAAACCGCCTCTCGAAGATGGAAGAGTCGCCTGGCGCAGCTCTCGGGGCTGGAGCCTGAGGTCGAGCAACGTCTCCAAGGACTGAAGTACCTGGCTGTCCTATGGCTGAAGCATTGCCGCCGAGTTCATAGGAAAACAAGGAAGGTTTCATAGGAAAAAAGTCAAGAACAAGAAAAACTCCGAGTGAGACGCTGCTGCATTTGCCAGGAAGAATGGCACTGTTTGAGCGATTGCTTGAAGCCAAGAAGCTTCGCGTTTCCGTGGCTCGCACCGGGGCTGAGAGAAAAAGAGAGAATGGAGGTGATTCAGAGGGCCGCCGAAGCGGGAGAGTAGGCCGTTGCGATAGAGAATTAGGATATCGAATACCAGTATACTAATATACCTGACTCTACTATCCAGGGTATAGTAGGATCAGAATCAGCCAGAATGATTCCATCAGAAAGGCCAGATTCCCACGCGTGACGTGTTTCTTCTTCATTGCACTGTATATAAGATTAAAAGATGTGACTCCACCCCAGGTCAGTGACTAGCTGTGATTCGAAAGATTCGTCTTCCCGCTCCGCCGGGATAAGTTCCACCGCTGAGTCAAGATACATATGTACCTCGCTATTTTCAAGTCGAGTTGCTTCACCAAAGTTCTCCACTGAGCCGGAAGTCGGCGTGGAGAGATGCTTCACTCTCCAGCTCTCCAACAGCTCCAAGTCAACAATTTAGTGGTTGGTTTGTATAAATATGAACCCCGAAACGGCGAGGATCGCACCCCCTCTCGCGATGTTCCGAAAAAACGCGCGATCGCCTCGAAACGTTCGCCTATCTAAACGAGACGAGAAAGCAGTGAGAGTGATTCAGCAGAAGGAGGGTATACCAGGTGTATGCATATGAAACCGCAAAATTTTTTCGAAAATAATTTTTATCTTTTTCAAAACGCTTCGAGTCGGATATTATTCGAAGTATGACCCGTTGTGAGCTATACACTCGGCCCATCTTTCG